GACTCTGCCTGAGAGGTAAGGAAAAATACACTTACTTGAGATTATATTTTTTATATCTCTGAAATAAATGATGTATTCTTGAAAACAATCTTTTATTGTACTATTGAATAAAATATTAGGTAAGCTGGTGTATGGTGGGAGTTCTGGCACAATATGGCTGCCATCGCATCATCCAGGTGGATGCTGCACATTGGTGGTGGTTGAGGAGATTAAAGCGCTATGAGTACCCAGAAAAGCGCTATATAAATGTAACAAATTAATAATTATTGAATTAAAACAACATTTTATTGTACTGTTGAATAAAATATTAGTTAATTATCAAAGAAAAAAAATAATTAATAGCCATAATATGGACTTTTGTAAATGCTGTGATACTATGATGCTCAGATACTGTGATTTCCTTCTCACATTGCTGATTTCACCATTAACTCTTCACCTGAACAGTTTATGTTTTTGTATATGGTATCACTGTAATCCTTGACCATCAAAACATAGGGGTAGACATAACCTTTTCTGTGTTATCATGTTTGGGTCAGGAGATATGACACAAAATACATAATTTGGTTATGGCAGAAAGTAAAATGGTCACCATGGCAATCACGAGGTGTTTTTTGCTATGGCTCCATTTCTGAAAATGTTTAGGGCCCTAACCTGTACAATTGTACCAAGTTTCATGCTTTTATGAAAAAGGGAACATATCACCTCAAATTTTGCAAATATCACCTGGACTATAAAAGGATTTAAACATGGTAAAATGAGTTTAAAAAGCTAAAACAGCTGGAAGTATTATCAAATTACTCAAACATCTGAGGGGTTTGTGAATTCATTCTAATCCTGCAGAATTTGCTGCAGGCACAGTGTGTGCATGAGGTCATGTTTGTTGTCATAAGAATAACAGTCCACATTGTATGCTAATGGAAAAACATGCTTCACATCACCTCAGAAGAAAAGAATGAAACAATCATTTTAAAATTATTTTTTACTGGTTTATTTAGCCTTATGCCACACTACCACTTAAACAAAAGTATATAATGTCATAGGTTAACAAACAAAATAAAATGGGAGGAAATGTGTTTACTGTTTGATTCTTTAAAAAAAAACAACAACAAACAGTTCCTTGTTTTTTAACCAAGACAAAGACCGTCTTAAAAAGATGAAACCGAAGGCCATAGACATTTAACACAAGCTTTATTTGATTAATAAACAACTATGTGAAATTATTGCTACAGTACATTGTATTAATGCATAATTAATGGGTAAGCTAACAGAAGGATGCTGGATTGTGATTTGTTCTAAATGTAGTGTGTGGGGGAAAAAAAGCCATCAGCATCAGGTTACTCTGAATAATGTTTGAAGCAAGTCATGCAACTAGCTGGATTCAAAAACCTTGTTTGTACAGATTTGTTGTGTAACCACCATCATTCAAGTTACAATGTGTCACTGATTTGACTGCAGAGATTACATTTAGTAAAAGAAAAAACATACAACACATTTCCCCCCAGGTCACTTAGTTTTTATGGCCTTTTTGTAAGAATGGACTGAATAAACATTCATATTTGTGAAATGTATCACTACCACTGTGTGAACAGAGTTTCCACTGAACTGGATATTCAGGAGTTTCATGAAATGAAAGAAACTTTAATTTCTCTGATGCTCAAGGGTGACTGCACCTTTTCAATACCCAAGCTCACTGGGGCCTTTTTATGATGTTATTGAATTTCCTACATGTCTCTGCAGGGTCTTCAAAGTTTATCAGTAGATCTCGGGTATTAGGATTCGCTCCTCAAATAACATGTGCTTCAAGCTTGACCTCAATATAGTGTTAAATCAAACCCAGTTTAACAATAATTATGGTTATGATGTAGGACTGATACAGGTTTTGATGTACAGCTAACATCTAACAAATGTCTTTCATTTTCAGATGATGGAAACATGAGATGGAAGTACTGCAATCACTGTATTATTGCCTATACAGTGAAAGTCAGGGGTGTCCAGTGTTGTTTTGGATTTCATTAACTTTCAATGTGTGGACAAAACAGTTGAAAACTCTAAATATAATCTTTTGTGTTCCACAGAAGAAGGTACTGTATGTCATGCAGGTTTGGAATGACATGAAGATGCATAACTGATGACAGAATTTCAGTTTTTTTAAAGTGAACTACCAGGATATAAATGTGATGATAATCTGATGCCCTCATGAAATTCTATTCCTGTGTGTCTGTTTTCCTTACAAATACTGTTTTCACTGACCTGCCTGGAAGAGAAACATAAAAGACCATAACCTTTTTACATATAAATACAAACACACATACATTACGCATGTATATGCTGACCTTATAAACCCTTAAGTAGACACATATTATTTATGGTCCATGGTCCACCTTGATGATAAGCTTAAATTGTTCAATTCATCAAAGCTGTCAACATGGCAGTCCCCTCCCTATATTTATTGCGAAACAAGAGAACAGAGAATTAGAATGACACCTATTTTTGAAATGGTTTACGGACAGAGTTCAACGCATAGAATGTGTGTAATTGTATTTGATCTGGATTTGTAATGTATGCATGGCCTAAAGTTCACCACAGCCATGTCACCCTGCAGCCCAAGACTGGTTGCCCACTGAAGCCAAGCAGGGTTCAGCCTAGTCAGTACCTGGATGGGAGACCTCCTGGGAAAACTAGGTTGCTGCTGGAAGGGGTGCTAGTGAGGCCAGCAGGGAGTGCTCACCCTGCGGTCTGTGTAGGTCCTAATGTCCCAGTATAGTGACGGGGACACTATACTGCCAAAAAGCACCATCTTTCGGATGAGACGTTAAACCGAGGTCCTGACTCTCTGTGGTCATTAAAAATCCCATGGCACTTCTCATAAAGAGTAGGGGCGTAACCCCAGTGTTCTGGCCAAATTGCCACCTCTGGCCCTTGTCAATCATGGCCTCCTAATAATCCCCATCCACTTGATTGGCTCTATGACTCTCTCTCCTCTCCACCTGTAGCTGATGTGTGGTGAGCGCACTGGTGCTGTTGTCCTGTGGCTGCCGTCGCATCATCCAAGTG